TTAACAACTGAAAATGTACTCGTTCAAATTTAAATTAGGTACGAAAAATGGGGGTGAGCATGCCAGAGATGCCCGATTGCGACCCGAATTCAAGTAGTTTATCCCAAGTACAAGTATCCCGATTGAGTCCCAACTAACCAATGTGCGGTTCACAAAATACTATGTAGCGTATATTACATAATTTATTAATAAAATAAAGATCTATAAACAAATATATTTATTAAAATGTATCATAAATAGTATATTATATACATATAAATAATCATAATATAGTCAGATAATATTGTTTACAGTAAAAAGAGATATAAAATAAAATGAATGTCGATAAATATTCAATAAATAGTAAAATTGTAAATTAGTTAATAAATTATTGTGTTAGGTACGACACTTTGAAGTCAATTTTCTATGCGTCTATAATATTATAAGTGTTACGTATACGAAACAAAAGTCAAAACTATATATTATAATATAACAAAACCTAATGTATTTACGGAGCGCTTTGTTCAAACTTCACTCGGGTATAAATGTGAACACGCAGCATTGCTGTATAGGTAGATAGAAATGGCAAAAAATTGCTGTACGAATTACGCGATTGAAGAACGTTCATAATATTATTATATATGCACACAGCAGCTATTATAGCGCATACTTACGACTGCAGTTAAAACGAAAAACAAAACCGACGAGAAGAGAGAAAAAACCGCTTAACTTTTCCAAAACCGATTGAACGACACTCGGCTTGTTTTTAAACCACCCATTGTACCTTATAATATATTGTGTTATTACAATAATATGTTATAACTTATTATACGTCGTACGAACACTGTTACAGAGGTGCGCGAGGATAAAAGACTGCTGTGGAGCTCAGCATGCTGTGTGTTTCTTTTTCTCCGCCGCGAGAAACGCGCCCGGCGACCCGGGTTTTCGATACAATATATTATGATTTAAAACAATAATAATATTATAATACATTTATCATATACAAATCGACAACAATTAATACGGTAAAGCATAACGCTTGAATGATATCATAAATATAGGTACAGGCGTACAGTAATACTGTTGTTTGCCGCAGACGGTTATTTAAACGCCGACGGCTACAAATGGAAATTTGTCGAAATCGAATTTCGTTTAATAGGTACACTGCTTTTACTATATTACTATTATCTTTATACTATACAGGATGAATCGAAAATGAAGCTCAACCTTTTTTTTTCTTCGACAGTGGAATTGTACAAAATCTGGTTTTTGGAATTTTTGAATAAACCTACTAAAATCCATACTTTGGCCATATTTTCAAATCTTTGAGATTTTTTGGACTACCTACCCACACATACTTAATAAGTGTTCTGCGGAGACACAAATTCCAGTATTTCAAATGAGAACCACCATTTTATATTGTGAATAATTTTGCGGATCATTTGTATGGAAATGTTGACGTTTCAAAATAAAAATCCAAGCTAACCGTTTTTTAACTATTTGACTATATGTACTGAGGTTTATACTATAGTTCTATAGTAATGTGTTTGGAAGTTATTATGGAAATTAGAACATTCTAGTTTTTAAAAATAAATTATAATTTGTAAAAGTGATCCAAGTATAATAAAATATATTAGATTCAATATTATATACCTGCTAACATTTATTTTATATTTTTGTAAAACCATTTTTAAGTAGGTACTATTGTCCTTAACATTAACTAAGAAACTACTCAAATTTTGAATTAGGTATATCAAAATTATCAAAAAAATTATCCACTTATCATTATATTTAATAATCATATCAATAACGAATTATTTAATAAACAACGAAGGTTCTTATTTGAAAATCAGAAGTTTGTATCACCATAAGATATTCCTTAAGTAATACAAAAACTCAAGAATATTAAAATATTGTCCTTTATAGTACCTAATACTTACTTACCGGAAATTCCAGAAAATAACAATATATTAAAATATAAATTGAACGCGGTCAAGTGGAGCTTTTTCTTTATTAGCATGTATAGTCACTATAGGTACATGTAAAACATGTTTAAAACATATTAAAACATATTTAACGCAACATTTATGATGTCGATCACTTCGGTGTTTGATTATCACTTGTTTTCCTGATTCATAATTAAGAAAATCTTAAACGTATAGAATGAATGAGGGTAGAGAATATGTACGAGTAAAGCGTGGTTAGAGTGAACTAGAGACACCCTGTGTTATAATAGTATACTCAATAATAATGTCCGAGGAAAATAATGCGGTCCAAAAAAATGAGAAGAATTAAGTATATGCAGAAAAAAATGTAAACATTTGGATATCTTTTGAAACCAAAAAAATATAACCATTTAATAATATTAATAGAATGATAACAACAAAATAATAATATTCTCAAAATCCCATTATTCGTGCAACACGACTCAATTTTTATTCGATGGCCCAAACATAATATATATATATAAGACAAATGGTACTGGGATATAATTTATTTTATATACTATTATTTATTTATAAGAGAGAGAGATGAGCGTGTACGCATTGTAATAAATATTATTATTTATTTTTACTATTATTGTTATGTTCGATCGGTCGCGAGGAATGCAAAACGATATTACAAAATGAAAGATCGCGCGCGCGCGCTCGTGTGCGAACAGAAATCTTCGCGCATACCTATATATCTACTCTCGCGATCGGGTCAATGATACCCAACGTGAAAAAAATAAGAAGAAGGAAACACACACACACACACACACACACACACACACACACACACACACACACACACACACCACACAAACACGCACACATGCATCACATTACAAGATGTATAATGTGTACATATATATATATATAAAGGAGCGGTCTCCTCTCGCACACATATTATACATCGAGTACAGCCTCCGGGCGCGAATCGCCTTCCATTTTATCCAGACCGCCGCCAATGTTGCCGCTATTATATTATTATTTATTTATTATTATTATCACTATATATGTAGTATATCATATAGGTATATTAAATTCGTATATAAATGTAAAGGTACACACACACTCTCGAGTATATTTTAATTGCGAAACGGGTCATTCAATCTACGTCCTTGTCGGTTGATTCTCCCCGCCAACGTTTTATCTCATCTTTCTTTTAATACTCGTTGTCGTCTAACACATGCCCGCTCGCCCGAATCTCCTTGTGGAGGTCGATCGGTCATCAATGTATTATGCATATTAGGTACATTTATATATAGTTAGTATAATATGCGTCTATTCGATACGTATGTAATATATTGCATATTATGGACATATGGTATGCGCACAAGCATATTCTGATAAATATAAATAAACAAATATATATATATACATATATAGGTAATTAGGTTTGTTCTCGTGATCATATTATTATAATTAATACAAATGTAGTAGTCGATATAGTCGGTATCCATGACCGCGCCGGAGTACATACGGAGTTCTAGCAATGTATAATATTAGTTTTTTTTTGTTATTAAATAACTCACGGCTACATAGGCCATTGGTTGAGTCTAGTAGATTTTTTAACCGTGAGGGAAGGTACGGTTGGTAAGAATACGTGTGTTTACTGTATATGTGGCGAGGATTTGTCACTAGAACCCGGGAACTAATGACACCAGCTGATGCTTGACTTCAGAACTGAAGCCAACCACCACGCCACCATAATATTGGTTATTATACCTAAGGTATAATAAAAATCCGTCTATAGGTAACTTAAAGTCAGAGCTTTTGGTTTGGGCGAATATACTTTTTATCCCAAGTCGTAGGCAGGTGCGTATATTGTTGGTCATCAATGACGAAATTTGATCATCGTCTATCCAGTCACCTAGTCTTTTGCGTAAGATAAATATTTGTGTTTTTTTCCCACTGACAAAATATACACACATATTATTACATTTTCACTTACGCAACAGTCGTCACACCCGGCCCAAAACAAGTCCTACTCCTTTTTTTCAAACAAACTATAGACATATTTAAATTAGTTAAAGTAATCAATTATACGAGCCGGTACGTTTATATATCAACGAAATTAATACTGCAATCTTATATGTGTATAACTTCTTATAATGATTTACGGTCGATTTTTTTCCACACGAACACGTTTCTATTAATATTTTTTTTTGAAATGGATATATATGAATAGTTGACGAAACGATCGCGTTTAATTTCGACTGCGCGTTTACCTGCTGTCCGGAGGTTACAAGACCTGGGCGCATATACATATTATTATATTATATCAAATGTAATATATAATAAATATATTTAGAATTCGAGAACACGTCAATATTTACACTTGCGTTTTTACCTCGCTTTTGGTAATTTAACCTCTCCGAAATGAACCCAATCCGACAAACATATTATTATTATATATATTTATAATACGGTAAACGGTTAAGCTCATGCACATGCCGGAACCTTCACCTTTCGCGCATTCCTTGACCTGAATACCGTAACGCGGGTACCTGCAGCAGCCGACGTCGTGTCTTTTAAGACAACCGAATAAACAGCCCGCTCGCGATTTAAGTCAAATAGGAAAAAAAATTAATAATAATAAACGTTTTCCGTGATATTATTCTTGTATCCGATATTATTATACCAATTTACTTTCACTGAAAAAATCAAATCAAATAAACTATAGCTGATATATTATGAACAAAGTTTCCTCTATATATCTTTCCATAGGCGCATGAGCGTCACTAAAGGGTACCGATCAGTACTTTTGCTACCCCATAATCTGTTTTCACGTTTGAAAAAATAACAAAAAACAATAATTTTTTGTAAATAATTTTTTTGCTCAATCAGAATTCTGACTTTACGGTGACGTAGACACTAGGCACATGATAATACTATAGTACACAAATCCCTATTATCCGCCAACAGACGGAAATACGTATCATCACATAATGTGTCCATATAAATTAAAAATTAAAAAATATATAGTTTTGCACTCGATCGCGTAATATAATATTCGATTCGATTGTGTTGTTTCAGACGTGGCAAGAAAAAGAAGCCGGAAAAGTGGTGCTGTACACGACCACCATGGGCATAGTTAGGGACACTTACCAGCGGTGCCTCCAGGTCAGGCAAATACTGAGGACTCATCTTGTCAAGTACGTGGAAAGAGACGTCTTCATGAGCCGAGAAGTGCAGAAGGAAATTCGAGAACGTCTCGGCGGCGACACCATTTCAGTGCCGCAGCTGTTCGTTGAAGGGAATCTCATCGGAGTGAGTTTCCATTTTTACAATATTATCATTTTTACCGAATATTAATGTACCTATCCATATATAGCATACGGAGTGATCCATTTAAAGTAAAACACTCCATTTGTTTCAAAAACACTGGAAATAATTCTTTTACATAATTTTAAGTGGTTACAAGACTCCATTTTATTATATTTCTTACTACTTTTTATAGTTATTTTTTTTAATTTTTTATTCTTTTGGATAACATACATTTTTTATTTCATATTTCAAAGCAGAATATTATTTGGAATATTTCAATCTATATAAATCAAATTTCAGACGAGTAATTTATTAGTTGTACGTATTTAGAGTTTAGATGAGTGAAATACTATTATAGTGGACCAATATTTTGCGGGGTACCCCTGTGCCACACCACACCACTTCGATCAGTTAAACTTTAAATACTTATAACGCATAAACTACTCGTCCAAAATGTTAATGATTATTGGAATAATGAGTGCATTACGTCAAATAGTGAGGGGGTTTTTTTAGGCAACCCGAAAGCTTTGCTCACTACCTTACGAGATTATGCGTGTACATATTATAATATAATGGATTAATATTATACTTTGTCATCTATTTACAAGATCTAATATTCGTATTTAATTGTACAAAAACCCATTAACACAACGCAAGTGGTTACGAGTATAATATTATTATTTTTCGTATAACATTAATAACATTCAATATTGTAACCTTTGTATAGGTAAACTTGATTTCCTTGAATTTTTGTTTTAAGTAACGTGTTTCGTTTACAATTTAAAACTAGAACTCTGAGCTTCGAAATTTAATTTCATGCATAGGAATTTAAACCCACGATATCTTCATAACAATAACTAGGTGGGTACCTACCTACCAATAACTCACAGTCCACGTCATGATTGTATAAGATTTTTAATTGAATTTCGTGTTCTGTTACAAGAACAAGATAAACCGGCATGGTACGGTGGACTTTTATCTGAGACAACTTAAGCGTGTTTTGATGTTATTGTAATTTAAACTTTATGAGAAAAGCGATTTTAGTTTCTTTTATTATCTTTTAGTGCCTTCTATAAGTACATTTTTTGTAATTATATATACATTTTACAAACGGCAAAATTCAAAGTAAATTCACTATCAAAAATCATTCGATGTTATAATGTTATATTAATTATACACGCATATAGATAAACGATACTTATAATTATTGATTAATAGCATACTATTAACGTAGTATCATAACTTTAATTTATAGGTATACATATTATATGTGATGGGTACCGTCAAACGAATACGATCTAACGATGTTGTTAAAAGTTTACGACATTTGAATTTAATGATTGTAGATGTCTTGATCAAACTAACAATAATTTTTTAAAAAATATTATGTATTAGCCGTTTACAATAATCATGGCCATTGGTTGATGATAATGATTAATGATTGAACGACGTTTGACTTTGTTCTCAGGATGCAGAAGCCGTAGAAAGACTGAACGAATCTGGGGAACTCCGATCGATTTTAAAACCATTTAAGGTAAAGCCAAAAGATTTATGTTTCATTAATCCGTTTTCATATTCGGAACGTTCCTTCCGGTGCAGACAAGAATATCCTGTTGTCCGATGCCATTAAACACACACACACATACACAAACACATACACACACATACACACAACATACACATTACACACATACACTCACAGAACAAAACGCAACTTTCCTATTCCGGACTTCTATATACATATATATATATATATATATATATATATATATATATATACACTCGATGGTTTTTAATATGAAAAGATTCTCTCTGACAGAGGTCTCTCTCACTCGTTTCTCACTTCATTTCATCTCCACCTATCTATTACCCATGCCATTGTTGTTCCATCATACTGCCGCCGGCCAACAAACTAAAAATAATATATGTATATAAATGCATCTATTGCACTCGAATTTACTCGGAGATTATGTAAATATTTCAAATTTGTACAATGCTTAATGTTTTCACTTTTCACAACCCGAGTCACGATGTTATCTAATATATATGTTACACATAGCAAAAAGGAACCATCGAACAAATACGGTTCAAAATGATGGATGTGCACTGTATATTTTATTATTATGATCGAATCACGCTTTTGAATCGTTTGTAGTTTGTAATAGCGTACCATCACACCAGCAATCCCTCTAAACCAATAAAACTAATAATTACTATTTATTCACATTAATAACTTTAAATATTTTTCAATTTTAATAGTTGCTGTAAAATTATACGCTAGTGGACTTATAGAGTTCCTAATAATAGTTTATCGGTTAAAATCACCCTTACTGGTAGAAATGTGTTAAAAATAAATTTTTTTTAAATATCCAGAGAGCTTATTTCTATAATGTTTTTATTTTTGAAATCCCACGCCAATAAGTTGAATCTTTAACATATTAATCCTTAACAAGTGTTGACATACTATTTTGACAGTTTTGTTTTACTGTTTTTTTATTTTTATAATTATTGTTTTATGGGACATCTTTTTCGAAAACATTTTCTTAATAATAACCATTTGTATTGTTTTTATTCTACAATACCGTTTTGATCGACAGATCCAATGTTGTATAAATAATAATATAAGGATTTTTCCGTTTTTTTTCAATAAAATCTATAACACACTTTCTAATCCATTATGAGAGCGATTTTTAGAACTAATTCAAAGTGTGAAGCATAATATTGTAACAATACATGACATTATAATACCTAACCAATATAAATTATAAATAATTATAAAAAGAAAATTATATAAATATCAGCAGTGTGCAGTGTGCACGATGAATAACATTTATGAATATTATGATGCCTTATTTTTCTTAAGGGCAACGACCTTATAGTATTATACCTATTAATACATTATATTATATACATGGTATTCTTAGGAATCACGTAAATTTAGGTAATAGATATTATTACTACCCTGTTATAAATATTAAATGTACAATATCTACCATTGTTATAGGTGTATAGGTGTATATTACAATGGAATAATCATTTAAATATTGTTGACCGCCATTATAGTGCAGTGATAATATTAACACGCGTATAATAGGCATAGTAACGTAATAGTCGTTGCGACAATACACATAATTTAATATATTATGTTATAATATGCAATAAGTAATAGGAATAAATTAATTTTCCAGGAGTGTCACATACAAGTCTTCTATTTATTTATGAATAATAATTAATAATACGTTTCATCACATGTAATGTATACCACGCTACTATTATTGCAAGGACACTGTTATAGGACTTAGGGCACTTGTCCATTTTGAAATAAAAAAACGTTCACACCTAATAATTTAAAACAATGCGGTTACTCTTCATCTGTATGCAAAACGTTTTGTATAATGTCTCAGCTTACGACAAAAAATAAATAAAAAACATCATTGTTAAGTGATCAAAAAGTGTATAACCGGGTATAAATAAATGTCTGTGCTATTAACACATGTAGGACAACAAAATAAACTGTAGATAAATTGATCAAAAAGTAAATAAAAAGTATAAGTCACCCGACGTTTCGAAATCTTGAGCAAAGCGGGTGTTTATGCGTTTTGTACAATATACGTATTATTATTGTAGACACAAAATACTTCAGAATAATAATAGAATAGGTAGTAAATTTTTCTGAAAACTTTAAACAACACTGTAAGACATGAACGACTGTACCATTTTTGACTAGCCACAGAGTAATGTAGAAATGAAAAATAATATCCGCGAGTCGACCTATTATGAAAATCAGATAAGCCGGTATATTAACATGCATAAAAATAATAATAGTTATAAAAAAATGTATTTGTATTTTAATGTATTTTTTAAAATGTAATTCTACCAAAAAAAAAAACGTCCTCAAGAATGGTCCAATCGTGCAGCACGCCTAGTTAAACTGTTTTTAAGATCCTATAGAATCATGAATAATATAATAAATTATAGCACAGTAAGGGGCATTTGGGAAGAGATGCGTGGAGGTTAAATTGTCCGCTAATAATATTCGAGGGAGAAAAACAATGCTTTTTCCACTGTCAACATCAAAAAAACATGGCGTGAGATGGCAACAAAAATGAATGAGTGTACATTTGCTTTCCTGTTTTTGAAATATTTAACTTTTACACCCCTCTTGTAAGTTTTCCAAGAGTCACCCATGGTAGGAATAGTATATAGGTGTGGGTAATAGATAGTTTATAATAAAATATTGCATTTGCGTATAATTGAAGAGCCTACATCCCCATGGAATAATATACAATAAAATAAAAACAATAGATGATAATTTAACTCGCGGTAAAATTTTAATGTAATCAATCATGTGTGCAAACTGCGAAGTGCTATGATATATTGTTGAATGGAAGAGTGCCGATGAAAACGGGTGAAAAAAAATCGTAGGCGGTCGCCCGGACCATTAACGTGCGACGACTTTGGCTCGAATTCAATAAGCGAAGTGTGCGTCGTGTGCCCGTGTGAGTGTGCGTGTNTGTGTGTGTGTGTGTGTGTGTGTGTGTGTGTGTGTGTGTGTGTGTGTGTGTGTGTGTGTGTGTGTGTGTGTGATTCGTCGGAACAAACGACACGTCGACCTACAACTGAGACGCAGACGTGTGTTACACGACAAGTACCGGTCCCTATTATAGCGCGTGCGGCTTATAAATTATTGTTGTATCCGAAAAATCGATACCTAGACGCTCAAGCTTTGCTAACGTAGACGGTATATACATGTGTATATGTATAGATATATAGTATATTATTTATACCTACCAAAGAGCCGGGAACTTTCAGCGGTCCAGATGTCTTAAAAATAGTTTCCCCTAAACAAATGCCGCACAGACGCCACCTCCATCCCTCAAAAATGGAATTTGTGTAAATGATTCTTAGTCTATATTAAAATAATTTTATAATCTCTGATTTACATTTTTAATATAAAATAAAAAATGATGGTCATGCCATTTTTCTACCACCCTTTAAAGTTTAAGTTTTACCGCCCTTGAGAGCCTAAATTGATATACGTAATACGTCACTCCATAATTTTTTTCAAACATCCGGACCCACTTAGGAACTAACTGTCGACCCATGTTATATAGTTACAACTCGCGCAGCTGCAATGTCTCATTATTAAGTTTGTTTCGGGAAGAAGCTACAAATGACACGTCTCGAGTCCCATAACTGCGCTGGTCTTTATAGAATCTGTGAAAGCTCGTATAATATTAATAAGGGGAATAACCCATTTATGCCGAAAAAAAAACGAATTTGTTTTGGTACAGCGTATTTGTGCTAAAATAAAAAGGATGTATTTTTCCGACAGTAAGTTTGAGCCAAATTTACCTGTGTAAACATTTTCATTAACGACTTGGTTTGATTGATATATTTTAAAAACACGACATACCTACGTTGTAGCACTTGTAACTCATATTTATTAGATAATATTTTCATAAATCTGTAGATTTTAAAATTATATATATTATTGCGTAGACAGGCTGAAAACATGTTTTATATCATTTTTATTATGTAGTAATGTGTTAGGTCCTCCGTTATAGGATATCGTTATTCTCCAAATCATCGAATAAGAACTATCGCAGTGTGATTTTATCAGATATTCGTTACGTTACACTACATAAGTACATAATATTTTAGTCTGTATTTTATTTGTTTTAATTAGTTTAATTAATAAGAATGGAATGTACGACAAGCAAAAGAGGCGAAAAATGGTTGAAGACACATAATATTGGCGTATAGGTACTTGTTCTAAAATGTTGAACGGTGGCGTTTTTCAAAAACATAATATAAAAATATATTGGTTTGTTATGATTTATAAAGAATGTGGACTACTAACTATTATTATAGCCTATGATTTAAAAAAAGAAATGTATAGGTAGGTACCTATTATTGGTTGTTCTTTAGAAAAATAAGTATTACCCATATTTTTTGAAAAACTCGTATTTTTGATTATGATATAAAAACATTTAATTTAATTTAAATTTAATATCCTTGCTTACTTTAATATTTTTTAAATTTTTGTCATGTATTTAATATATATGAATTAAACCAAGTCGTTAATGTAAAATGTATAAATCACGGGTAAATTTGACGCAAATGGCCTATCAGAAAAAACATACCTTTTTGGCGCAAAAAGGCTGTACTTACCCAAAACGAATTAATTTTTTTTTTTGCTCAAATGGGTGATGCCCATTAATAAGTACGGAGTACCGCTCCTAATAGTTGTAATAAATCAATATTCGATAGCGGTATAATACAATTATTATATTTTATAATATCATGTTTTCGTATGGTTCCAGAGTCCGGACGCGTGTACGACGTGCCAAGTTTGCGGGGGCTACAGGCTGCTGCCATGTCCGATGTGCAACGGTAGCAAGAAATCAGTGCACAGGAATCACTTCACCACCGAAATGATCGCCCTCAAGTGTATGAACTGCGATGAAGTGGGATTAGTGCAATGTTACGCCTGTTGATCGACGACAACGCATGATTATATTATGTATTATTATTATTTTGTTAAATTGATTACGCAATATGTATCGTTATTATATTATATTATTACCGATTATGATTTATATCGTAGGCTTACGTCATATTATTTTAGTGTACATATAATAATATTTTAATCATCGTTGCAGTAGTATCAATCTACTATAATATAATATGTTATATGTATGTACAAATGTACAATACGCATATATATGTAGGTATATACCTGTATATAATATAGTATATATTATGCTATTAATTGCTAAACTGCTATCTGTTTGTCTGTTAGTTGCCACCACCGTTAGTATTATTTTTATGGTTTTTGTTTTTTTTCTTAACTAGATTTTCAGATAGCCACCACAAATAACGCACACTTAAAATTATTTTTTTTATTCGATTATGATCCAAGTATCCAACACATACATATTATTATAGATAGCGTGTACCAACGAAACATTACAGAAACATTATAATATAATTTTATTTAAGCACAACATCATAATAATATATAATATTCATTTTTGGGGATCCATCTAATTGCAGCTTACCTACCAACAGACTAAGCTATTATGCGTCTGTGGCGTAAATGCATGATACCCATCTGTACGCATCTAATTAAGCTGATGATTCTTAAGACTTAAATGTATAGTTTACAATAATAAATGTTAGGTACTTCTTTAAAATCAAGTCGTGCAAGTGGTTTCTATACAATATTATATTTATTTATAAGTATACAGTATTATACCAAATCGGCATTTGTTTTAAGACTTTATTTTATGTACCTACCAAGTAGGTAAATATTGGACAGCAGTAAAATAATAGGTATTATGTACGTGTTATGCGGGGATATATACGCTAGAAAAAAATTGGATACTATATAGTTGTTAAAAAGTATGCACAACATATAATTACATTTATTATTTACTGCTTATTATAAATAATAATTTAAAACATGATACTCTTTTCGTACTCATTATATTACACAAATACCTAATATTTGCTATACAATTTGATTTTAACAGTAAGTAGGTATGTATTTAAATTTTAAATGTGTGTCCAATTTTTATTAAAAATTCAATGTAATTCAATTACAATATTGTTCGTTTCATTTTCTTACTTCGATGTACAATGTTATGCATTTTACTAATTGTATGGGAAAACATGTTTATTATTTTATTTATTAAGTTTTAAATTTATATTATACACTATGTTGTTTTTACACTTAATACCAAAATGCTCAATATTGTACTTTATTTGTATCGAATATGTATTATTATTAAAAATCTCCTATTTATAAGTTTAATTATAAACAGTTATTATATTATTTACATATGAATAACTGAGGCAGATTAAATTGCATCAATTTTGTATCTGTAGTTGATTTATTTCTTTATTTCAAATATTAAATTTTTTCTTTTTTTTTGTTCTCTTGTGTTTATATTTTAATAAAAGCAGCAAGTGATTAATAAATAATTTAGTTACAAATTTAAAACTATCATGTGTGAATATTTTTGTTACTAGTATTTAATATTTATAATCAATGGTTTAATATTTCGATAATCAAATAATGATTTCACGGGGTAACAGATAGGCTATTTGGGTACACTAGTGTCTAATCGCGGTATTTAATAAGTGCGATAATAACGACCCGATACATTTTTTAGTAATTGAGATGAAATCATTAGCAATAGTTTTTGTTTTTAATGGCAAAACTGTAATTTAATTTAAAAATAAATATTTATTTATGGAATTGTGTTATTAAAATGTATGCAATACCAACCATTTATTCTACCAAAAATGATCATCAAAGTGACTCCACATTATTTTGAACATGCTTATAGTAAATGATAAAATAGAAGACCTATTAAGACTAAGTATTATAACTTAAAATTGATATAGACGCTGATACTTAAATAGTAGCAGTAAATTAAAAACTTTGTAAAGTACTTTTTATCACTCATAACTTATACCATTCAAGACGATATTATGAACACAAGAGTTAACCTCTTTTTGAAGTGATAATCATTATTTTAAGTGAAGCAACTGACAATTTTTTCTAACAATATTTAAATTTTATATTGAGGGGGAAAATTACTTTCAGAATTCTCCTCGACAAACCAGTAGGATATTAAAATCTAATTAGTTACTTTAAGCCACATACATGTAATAAAAACTGTTTGAACTAAATTATTTAGTACCTACTCCAGTAGTTATAAGACATTACTAAGTGTAGAAACTTAAACATATACAATGTAGATATATACATGAAGTTATCTAAGAACATTTTAAGTCGACTATAGTCAACAGCTATAGAAAAATAACACTTTGCAGCAGAGGTTCCCAGCCCATGGGCCGCGTTAAACATGATATTGTGCCGCAAATGCTGGTGAAGGGTCTAAGACAAGGGTTGGCAAATTGTAATTTATCCTGATTGGCATCAACATCGACATTTTTGTATGATTTTATTAACGTCATTATGTCTGGTTCCCTAAAGCTAAAATCCAATGGATCAGAAATCCATTTGAAGAAGATTAAGTCTTAAACAATTGAAAATATCATCAAAAGAAGACTCGTTCATTGGTCAATCATGTAACCAGACTCCACACCATTGGTCCTGTTCTGGAAAGTATTTGGAATGACTATCCAGCATTGCAAGCCAATTTGTTACTGAGACACTTGATGAGGTTTTAGACAATCGTATCTATATGTACAAGCCTTTTCAACTTTAATTTTTTGAAAAATAAATACAGAAATAAATTGTGAGTGATTCAATACTATACAATTCAAATCCTGATAGTGACTCTCTCGTGGGAGACAAACAATATCAAAAATCACATTGAAATTTTTTAACTCTAACAAATTTGTTTTTAAATTGAATACAATAAACTTAATTCCTTTAAGAACATTTTATTTTTTAAATTTATATTGTACAGTATATTTTTTTATTACTGAATTATATGTACATTTTATACTTGTGTAGTTGTGTCATATGTATAATCTAAGTTTTTATTTGTATGTGTTTATTTATCATCTGTTTATTAAAAATTGGTATATGTTAAATACGATTAAGATTATTGTTTAATTGTTCATATTGGTTAAAGAGCCACAACAGTAACTTAAGCCCAATCATGTTTTAATAGTTTATTATTACTGGTGTAGAGAATGCTGACGAATAAAAAAACTCAAAATATATTGTATGTATGTATTTAATTCACTAATTGTACAATTTCCAATTACATATTCAACAAAGTGTAAGCTAATTAAACAACATAATCAAAATAACTTTTCAGATATTATGATTTGATGTTATTATTTTACTATTATTTGAAAATAAACAATTAGTATTACGAATTTGATGATTTTGAATCAAGGATTCATAATGTTACCAGGAATAAATGGGAAATGAAACTTTTGATTTTCTTTTGTTCCTTTATAATATGTCTCAAAACTTTAAGGTTCCCAATTTAAAATCAATTTTAACTATACTTTATAATACTACTATATTTAATATGTCGTAAATTCAATAAACACATACATTAAAATACTTATAAATAAAGTTCAAAATCAACACGTTTAAATGAATGAAAATCACTGTTTGAATTACATTTACGTACCCAAATGGGTTCTTTAAATTTATCTTCTACTTTCCATTTCTGCATTTGCTCAGTATTGTAAGGACCAAATACTTCATTACTTTCTAATGAAAACTTGTATTCCCACTGTAATGACTCTCCTAATGAAATTGTCAAAGTTTGATTAAATATCTATTGATGGTTAAAAAAAAATATTTTTATAAATACCCGTCAATAGTTCTTCTGATTCTTCTGGTTCTTCTTGACCACTCTGGATTGTACTTTCTAATTTCTCTTTTTCTTTTAAATCAAAATCTTCCGCATACATATCCAAATCTGATGACATGGAAGTTGATGGTTGTCCTTTCTTTTCCGATTTTGAAATCTATAAAAAAAATGATAGTACCATTTCATATTTTTTACTATTTTTATAAATATTTTGATATCATATGACAAAATTAGTCAATATTTAATCAATTTAAAACCAATATTTAAAATACTATTATTTAACATTATTTAAAATTGTAGTAATGATGATTATCTCTAGAATGTTATTTGTCAAGCACTAAATCAATTTATAACATTACTACTTATAGTATGCAGTTTACATTTTACACTACCCCCGTAGACCTATTGTACGAAAAGTTTATCAACTAATAATCTGCAATTGAAGTAAGGCTTAGTTTCATGTATTAACAAAAGCAACAAATTAAAAACATAAATATATAATTTATTGTTTTAGTATATTTGGTTTGAAGCACTAAAATAATTCTAACTTTAACTAAAATTACATTGTTGTTTCAAATTTCAAATTAATTATTCTCAAAACTACAAATTTAAAGAATAGAAAGTGACGCTCCAAGGATGAATTATTTCAAAAAAAAAAAATCAGATATATTATACTAAACTAAAGTTTCACTTATAGACCACATACTTTGAACACAAAAATTCACCACAAGCCAGATAACTTGTAGAAAGCATATACAACCAATCTAGTAGGTATGTGCATATTTTTAGTGTAATAATGGCTTTAAAATGTACAATAATGGCTGAACATAAATAGGTAATTATTAAAACATGACAAAGTAACCTAACAACTCACAATAGTGTCTTAACTGTTATAAACTTGATAAAAACGTTGTTATATTATTATTTACTAGCAAAATAAACTCAAGACATTTGCTTACAATTTGAGAAATCTGCTCATAAGTTTCTTGATAAACATCCATGTTGCCATTAGCTGTTAAAATTTGATTAGCAAGCTCTGTAAGTCTAGTGACTTTTGAAGACGAACCTTCATCGGTGCTTAATCCCGCCTTTTTCAATTTCCACCTTTCAGCAGTTGTAAGTCGTTTGTTTCCACCTAAACGCCTTAATGATTTTGAAATGGTCTCTTTGGGCTCCATCATGCTAATGATTTCTTTATACGCAGCATTTACATTAAACTCTATATTATCTTCTACACTTTCATCAGCTTCTTTTTTTTCTTTCGATATATCTTTAATCTAAACAAACAAACAAATTACACAGTATAATATGACAAAACATAAAAAACTATTATGTCTGTTGTTTCATTTACTTTACACCAATCAATGTTCTCTAGCCAGTTGTCCTGTACATCTTTTTCTTTTTTCCAATGATACATTCCTTCTTTATCAAAGTGCCCTTCTTCAAGTTCTTCTTGCATATTAAAAGGTGTGATTCGTATCTCACCATCTTGTCCAACAACTCCTTCTTCTTGGCCTAGAAGAAATAATAATACAATTGATAATGCATTGTGCAACATGTCCAAAAGTAGAAAGATTTAAAATTGTATTCAACTTTAAAAGTATAAAAGTTACACGTCTACTACTATGTACTCTTATATATTATATTGTATGCATAAACCACAATATAGTAAAAAGTTACCTTCAATATCTTGCTCTTGCATTACATCATAGTTACTCTCATCAACACTGTCATCATCGTCTTCTTCAGAATCAGCTATATTATTTAACTTTTCAAACTTATTCTGTTGAAAAATCTCTTCTTCTATTTTTCGTTTATTCATTTTTGGAACTATAGATTTAATTAGTTTGACAGAAAAACAAAATACAAGAATTTTCAACGATTAATCCAAAAGACTAAAAATAAAAACAATACAATGAAAAATTGTAAGCCTCAGTACCGCATACAAATATTAACTGTTAGTGTCTACTTCGAGTAAATAATGTGTTAACAGTCCACTATTTGTTCACAAACGAAACTCGTAAGTTCTTTCTCAGTGGTGATAACTGATAACTGATAACTAATAATAAACAATAATCCCCCTTCCACATTCTATAAAACCACATGTATCAATATAACTTTGAACTTACGGCTTGCACAGTTGCACAGTTGCACAGAACAATATTGTAGAATAAATAAAAATATTACAAAAATATTGATTTATTATTCTGTACTAAAAATTTATATTACATCATAGAAGATAGAACGATATTAATTATCATTATGTTCTGTGATTATATCCGTGGGCATTATCAACTATCAAGCCGGAAAATATGTACATATAATAACGAGATTAGATAACGATTTCACTTAGTAGTTAGTAGCAAGATTTAAGTTAATGTACGATGTACCTAAATAAGTATAATAAATAATATCTTAAATCAAGCTTATTAGTTAATATTCTCTAATTCTGTATTCCCTGCATGTGTCTTCAGTCTTCACCTGTGACCACAAATTAAGCTATAACTTAAACCTTAATATATGTAATACAAATATATAACTTAATTCGTGCGTATAACTTACCTAGTTCTTTTGTTGTGTACGTCATACAATTAACTATTTCATTTAATGAACGATTTTCCAACAATACTTTTTAAAATGTTTCATGTTAAATCATTGATTTTTCACGGAGTTTCATTAGGTTTATTCGGTATATGAATATGGTTGTGAATATTTAAAAAATTAAAATCATCCTGAATTTTAGGTAATTTTTATTTCCTTTACTTACCAGAGTATGATTTTAATTTCAAAAGTATTTTGAATTTTTAGACTCCCCATGATAAATAACCAATGAATTGATATGCATTGTTTTTTTTAAACTCAAATATAGTTGACTTTTGTTACACAAAATGGATACTCTAGTGGGCGACAAGCAGCCTATCGATAGTGTTGAGCCATTGACAAATGATGCCAGCAATGATGAAATTTGGGAAATAATTGACAAAGAAGATGATGGTAATAATATGCTGCGTTTAAAAATTACAGGCAATTTGTTAACACTATTTTATAGAGGACCTGAGAAATTTGTCTGCTGCGGTTTATGCATTTATACTATTGGTCATTGGCATACCACTATGGTGGCGAATGACAGAAGTACAACGCCACTCTCTTCCATATGCACAGATCTCACAATTGAGTACCATGGACATAGTTATTTCTACAGACGTATTTGTATATACCAAAAACCCATATGTAACAGAACGTATTATCAAACAAATTTATACTACATTCAATTCAAGTAATTCTAAAATAAATACTTAAAAATGTATAAACATGGTAAATTAAATTAAATATATTTTTACAGCTATGTTCAGTATCAGTGCTCAGCCTTCTACTTACATTCATTCAGACAACATTGCACTGAATAAACTGGAAATGGTTATAACTCCTCTAGGATCATTACAACTAATTGAAACCACTAGTGTAAATGATATAATAGCTGGTATTGGTCGTAATATTTATTTTCCTCCTAATACAGGTAAGCCCACCTTATATTTTATATTTTTTCCCATTATTTGTTGTTCATGTTCATTCATATTAAATGTATTTCAGATATTAAATTATTAATGGACTCATTAAAAAGACTGTTACAAACAGATGCATTGTCTGATTCAATGATATCAATGTTGAACCCTGGCAATCATTCTGATGACCAACAAGTAGTAATCGAACGACAGCGTCGAGTTAGACCATCATCAGATTATAATGTACTTCTTACTGTTGTAAATCCAGAACCTGATAAACTACACGTGTCTTGGAAGCCAGAAATACCTTTAAACCGTTAGTTTCACAAAAATATGGATTTCATTTAATACTAAATTATTTTATGCATTTTAAATTTATTTTTAGGTTATCTTCAGCCTTTACTTGATCAACTAAAACTGATTTCAAACTTTTCTGTACAATCTCAATGGCTTTATTTAATCGATTTGGTTCAAAAACCCCCAAAATTGAACACTACATTTGTATTAGACAAGAACCATGCTCAATATATAATTACTCCGCTAGAGAAAAAATTAGGTAATATTTTCAAAGTTCAATAATAGTTATCATTTGTTATAGTTAATATTTGTTTGGTTTACTCATTTCAGGTTCTGGAGTGTCTCGAAATCCGTGTATACATTTTGTTGTATATGTAACTCCTTGTTCTTATATACCTTTATATTTTCATGAAAACAATCAGTTAACTACTGCTATGATGTCAGCTCGCTGGGGTGGAGTTCAATTCTTAAATGCCAATCAGATGTCATGCAATGAATCGGTAAGCTTCATACCTGATGATCTCAGTATTATGACTCCCATCATCACACAGTTCCATTCATTAATTGGTGTGCCAAATATGTCCAATTACATATCACTAATGCCACTAAAATCATCTACTTTGCGTAAATGGCAATTGGATTCAATGTACAGACTCAAAATTATTGAACAATACACTAATACACGTATTACATTAACATCATTGTCACGACTTTTGGGTGAAATCAGTAATATTGTGATAATTGAAGAAGTTGGAAAAGCAGTAACTGAATCAGTAGAAGCAGCTACTAAAGTACTTCAATGTATAGAAAAGGGGCAATTGGAAGAAGCATTGGAATACAGTAAAATAGCATTTGAAACATCAGAGTTTGCATTTACTCATCCATCATTATTGGCATTGCTTTATTTTCCGGATGATCAAAAATATGCGGTTTATATTCCATTGTTCTTACCTGTTATGATCCCTGTACTAATGTCTTTGAAAGGAGTTAAAAACTGGATACAATTGAAGTACAAAATTTAATTTAGTAATAATAACTTAATGACATTGTGTTTATTTATTTTTTAATTTATTACAATAATAAAATGACTGTCCAATATTCCATATTATGTTATGAACTAATACTTAGGTACTTTAAATGACGATCCTTCATCTTTACCAGCTGGTACTTTACGTTTTTGTATAATATTTTGAATCTTATTCCATTCACGATCAAGTTCAGCTTTTTCATTCTTTTCTTTATTATGTTTACGTGTACGCCGTCCATCTGTCATTTTAACACCATACTGGAAAGCTGCTTTTGGTAATGCTTCTTTGTTACTCATATAAGTACCATACTCCTCAGGAGTATCAAAATCCCAACGACCAACTGGTCCTTTCTTGTTACCAAGATCCATTTTTGTATAATCAGCTTCATCATCTGAATCTTCAATTGCATCGTGCATTTCATCCAGTCCTGGGTAACATTCTGCATAGCCAGTGGGTTCAGCTGCCAATCGAGATAATAAGCCCATTTGGTTTTTGCGTTGAAACTTTGTTTTACTTAATGCCTCCTAGAAAAATACATAATCAAAATATTATTAATTAATTAAAAATTATATTAAGCTAAGTAAGAAATAAAATTTATCTTTAATATAGTGTTTTCAATACTTGTATAATTAGATAGTCAAATTCAAATAATTATTAATCAATTATATCAATAAAAATTAATAATTTATTATTATACTACAGTATTATTATATATTTTTTTTTACTTTAGAACTGGTAAAAAAATTAATTTCAATAATAATTAGAGTACCTAAAAATAAATATTTTGAGCTTTTGAAAGTTATAAGTGTATTAAAGATCATATTGATGTACATAAACTATAAATGCACATACACAGTACACACAGTATATACTACATACACGGTATACACATACACTCTATTATAACAGTAAGAATAATAAACACAAAACAAGACTGGGCATTAAAGAGTTAAAAAGTTTATTAAATTTTAACTTTTTAGTAAACTAGTTACTTTTGGATTTTTATTAACTTAACTAATAACTTACTACATTTATTTTTGAATTAATGTGAAATTAACAAATTAATTTTTCATTTTAAGAAATAAGTTAAGTTGATTTATTTTGTTTTTAATTTTATTACATTTAACAATTTCAGTCAATTTTGTTTTCATGGCAAAGAAATATTTACCATGAATTGTTTAAAGTTTAAAATGTTATTTTTCCAATCTAACTTATACGATAGGTGAATAGGTAGTAGATAGTTCTTTTTTTTAGAAACAAAAATCTTCAATGAAATACTGTATAAAGTATAAACACTATAATCTATAATTTAGTTTTGGGTTGGTAAAATATAAAGTATGCCAGAGTTATATAAAAAAATGTGTATTGACTTTGAAATTAGCTTTTAACTTTTTCTTATTGATGCATATGACTTAACTTAAACTGAGTTAAAAGATATCATTAACTTGTCCAGCCTTTCAAGCAAATAATTACACAAATTTCACTTGTAGGACAATCCATTTTATTCCAACACAAAACATTAGAGGAATTACTTAGGGCTTGGAAGTTGAATGAATTTCATATTCCTCTAAAGTAGGTTTTTGATTCATAGCAGATACTGCAGAAATAGTAAGAAATTAATTCTATAGAATTGCCAGTTAAGAAACAACAATTTAAAATATTCGGTATATTATCAATTTCAGAAAAAGAATGCATACTATATTAAATAATATATTATTCTATTATTTACCTGATTTATTTTATATTTGTACCCAATTTTATCTTCCATAAAAGTTTACATTGCTTTTTTATTACTTATGTGTTTAAATGTTAAACATTTAATTTTTTAATGTGAGTATTTTTTTTTTTAAAGACTGCAAAAGGAAATTCACTCTATCAAATAATGCCATATTTTTATTATGACCTAACAGTCACAATATAACCTTTGCCACTACGACATATTGTCATTTTTTCCTAACCAGTTTTCCCACACAATTTGTTATTATAATAGCTAGTTAATTACATATTTTATCAATTTTAACTTTTATAGCTCCTGATTCCCAGTAATAACTATTAATACACAATATATTCATATGTATATATATTTACCCATCCCATTTCATCTCTTTTATGATGTTCAGTTTCCACTTCTTTTTCTTCATCCTTTGAATGTTTAAAATAGTTTGATTGTTTTTTAGTGGTCTCTTCATTACGTTTTTGAGTAGATGGTTCATAATCTGGTAATTCAGGGTATATGTTATCATCGAAAACTTGTTTATCACGTTTTTTCGATTTCTTTAAATGTTTTGGTCCAGTTCGTAAGTAAGAAAGGATCTGTGCTAATTTATTAATAACAATATCATTTGTAGTCAATGTGGGTCTGTCATCCATGCTAGGCACATCAGATTTGCTGCGAATTAGTGTTGTTGGGATATC